TAATGTGTTTCCAGGACTTGGCTTTGCCAAGGCCACTGGCTTGAGCTGACAATAATTAAAGAAATGCCCATGCACCTTCCCAGGTGCTCTCTACAATGATGTCTCAAATTTTTTTGTGTTTGTTAGTGGTGTATCTGTATTGTTTAAAACAGTGTGTGGTGCATTGTAGGATCTCAACACATGATTAATGAGTTCATGAATGAAAGGTTATTCTGGATGAACATGGAACACTTGTTGAAATGTACCGGTGTGAACAGCTAGTGAGATGTCTAGAGTGTAAGTCTATGAGAGTCATAGAGAAGTTTAGTGTCACCGGGGAAAGAGGAATAACCCCTGTAAGTAATCAGTGAATATCATAAAAAACACTACAATGAAATGTTTAATTACATAGCACAAATTACAATCGCAAATTCTTAGAGAATAGAAAGATTAATTAAGGCTGCTTTATTATTAGAGAAGAATTCAAGTAAAAGATGTAGCCTGAGAATTTCCATGAAGCATGGTAGCATCTGGATAAAGGAGAGCATTTCATTTGAAGGAAACAGTCAGAATACTAACAGTGGACACACACTTTCTTCTATCCAACTTAACTTACCACTTAGAGTGTTTTCAGGAAAACAATTTTAAAAGGACTATGTGCAGACTTAGAGAATAGCAACTAGACTTAGGCCCACTAAAAGATGACATTAAGTTCTACCTTTATTGTTTTAAGATTAGATTTACAGGCCACATATTTAAATGGATTGGTATTTCTGCACTTTATTAACAACTAATACTGCTTATTTCTTTACATACATTCACACATTAAGTGCTATTTTCAAACTTTAATTTCTGAGAAATATAGGATGGAGAAATATACCATATCTTCAGGAAGGTTTGGCTGGAAATCTATCTTAAAGAGGATCAGAAAAAAATTCGTCACCAAGTATAAACACACAACTCCTGATAAATATGAGATTTGGGGAACTTAAGTCTGTGAGCATCCTTAAAAAGTCCTTATGAGTATTATTTAGGGACTTTTAGCTATGTTTATATTCTGTATATTCTGGAAATATTTACGCAAAACGACATGCAAGACATGGCAAGCCGCTCTGCAGAGTTAGTACAGGACCAAAGGTTAAGTGAGCCATTGCTGGAAGTTACACAAACGGTGAAAGATTTTAACACAGGACCCATTTCAGAAATCATACCTTAAAAGGCTGTCACTGACTTCTATGGCAGAGACCTTCACTGTTACTTAAGGAGCATAATACATCCTTTGGGGATCTGTCAAGTGCAAAAGGAGCAGATAGAACATAAGTGCAGTGTCAGCATCACAGTTAGCAAGGCTGGAATAGCCCTGGTGGAAAAGAGTCAAGACACGAGAGAATATCATGAGAGAATACCACTATCAGCATTGGTATTAGAGACAGAAACAGAATGTTAATTTTTAGACACACTCATTTAAGTACTACTTAATCTGGTAAAAATTTGAAATGTGCTTGAAGTTGATGAGTGACTCTGTACAATGAACTAACTCATCTGGAGGCTGAGTTTAAAGCTGACCTTGGTCATCCTTGTGGCCTCCAATCTTTACTTTTCATTTTCAATTCTTCCATTTGCCACCTTGATTCACAATTTTTCCTTTTATCATTGAGAGATACTATTTTATAATAAAACCTTGAATAAGTGACTATTGAGTGCAGAAAGATATCTACATAATTTACGTGACTGGCTTTCATCTACCTCTCCCACCACATCCCCAGCTATCCTTTCTCTCTTCCATTTCATCCACAGGCAATTCCCAAATGCATCAGCTATTTATTTGTGACACAAGGAACTCTGTTTTTTTTTTTCTCTTTTCAAAATATTCCTGCCTCCCCTCTGCTGCCCCTCATTAAGCAGACAGGGTCATCTTCACCTTTCAAAAGGTGTTTCAGATACCATTTATTCTGGGAAATTTGCCTGTACACAAACAGAATTGATTGCTACTTCCTATTATCGGCCTTGTGTGTGTTTTTGCTTTGAACTTATCTCACTTTGTGATTTAATATCTATATATCCCTATATATTTGACTAGATTGTGAAACCCTGGAAATCAGGGACTATTTTATTCATCTCTCTATTTGAAACCACTAACACCTTACCCAGCATACATAGTAGTGCTCAATAAATGTTTGGCAGGTTAATAACATTATACAGAAGCATTCTTTTAAAATATTCGATGTGCATTTATACAGGGTGGGGCAAAAGTAGGTTGACAGTTCTTTATATGGAAAATAGTGAAATATTTGTAGGCTACGGACTTGACTTCTTATACTGAGGACATGTTAAGTGTTGTGACTGAGAGCTGGAAAATACAGAAATGACACTGCAGTAAGTAATGAGTGGTTACGAAAATCAGCTTTAACCTGTCATGTAGCAATATTTTTCATATCCTTGGTCTTTGGGATAGTGACTACTTCATGTCAAACTTTGACCTCTCCCTTGAGCTTTAGACTGATATAGTCACCTGCATGCTGAACATAACTATAATATGTTCCACAAACACCCCAGACATATTTAAAACCAAACTCATCTGCTTTTTCTCCATTATCCAGCTCTCTGCTAATGTTACTATTATCCACAATGCTACCATATGTATTCTGTCTACCATATGCATTCAGTCACCAAATCCTGCCAAATATACCTTCAAAATATATGTATAGTCAAATCTGTTTTCTTCTGTCTGATCCCATACAATCTTAATTTAGTCTTTCATTTTCCTAGACTACTTAAATAGCCTCCTAATTGGTCTCCTCATCCCCATTATTGCCACCACATTTCTCCACAAAGTAGCTTTAGCAATCTTTACACATTGCAAATATTACTAGGTTATATTTACTTAAGACTCTTCAACTGACCTAGATAGAGTGTAGGCTCCCTACCACAGCAATTCCCCACAGTTCTATCCTCCCATCTCACCACAGGTGATTTGCATTTTTTAATCTATG